TCTCTTTCTTTTTTTGTTGTTTTTTTTTGGGGGGGGGGGGGGGGTTGTTTGGTTTTGGTTTTTCCTAGCCTCCTAGGAAACAAATTTATCCATGCAATATTTAAGGTGAACTATGTTTTCTTTTAATCGCTATGCTCCACAAGAGCAAAACAATGGTTTAGGCCCATTGTTTAGATATGGTATAAATATTTAAACAGACACTTCCTGTCCTGCCATACCGAAAATCACTCTTTACAGTCAGAGGCTCCATCTGCTCTATACTGACTCAAATAATCTTTCAACCAAAACAAATGCAAAATATTCCCATCATTATTCAAAAGCACTAACCAACAGAAACTGCTTCATTACTATAAGCTAAACATAAAAAACCAGTGGTTAAAAAGCAATTTTTATAATCTGTTGAGTTTAATAATTTATTAAAGCTATTGGTTCTCAATACCTCTATCTTCATTAATTAAATACTAGATAAACTAGTTAAGCATGGGAACTGAATTCTGCTCTTTGATAAAGGGAAACACGTTGGCCAAATCTGACCTTTGCTTTCTCTCCGACTAGGACTTCCTTCAGAATTCATTCAATATACAGGCGATTGCCAAGAACATCCAGGTGATTTATTCACGCAAGTAATGGTAACAGAAATTATAAAGCTTCTGTAAGTGACCATGCCCTTTGTTCATGACAATTAGGGATAAAACCAACACGTTATATATGACAGTATATATTTTTGGTAAAACTTTTTTCTTGTTCACAAACACAGTAAGCCCTGCTGTTAGCTTCATTATATTAGCAACCAAAACACATCTGGACAAATGCCCACTCAGTGTGTTATTCAAAGCACAAGCTAAGTTAATACAGACAAGTATGAACAATATTTGCAAAATTCAAGTAAAGAACAGAACAAAACTTCAGCAATTGAAAATGTTTATGCAATACAAGAATGCAAACATCATCACAGTCCTAAAGTTCAAAACATTTCCAGATCAGTTTTAAATTTCCAGTCTATGTATAAGGCAAGATTTTCGAAGCTGTATAAATCTCCTAGCCCATGTGCTTTCACGCCAAAGCTTAAACCAGCCCGTCAATCAATCACTCAAATTCCAGTATTTGTGCTTGCACTGGAACTGTGCTCCACAAACCACAGGCACAGAATGAAAAGGGAACTGTGACCAGCAATAAGAATATACAACACTGTCCCAACCTCCTATGACAGCCAAGGTAAAGGAACACAAAGTCAAGGTGAAGAGTTTGGCTTCTGAGGGAAACAAAGCTGGAGAAAACTATATTTCGTACAGCAGACATTGCTCCTGTGTCATCAACTACAAATATTTTGCCTGATCCTTTTGACAGTCCTAATAAGAATATACATATGTACATTTCCCAGAGAAAGAAAAATGTATATAGACAATAGACTTGATTCAGCTCAGCAAAGAAAGCCGTAATTTGTTTTTTTTTAAAGTTTAAAAATCTATTTTCCTGTCAGATTCCAGAGACTCAGTTTTAACTAGGCAAAATACATGACTGGAAAGTGTCTGAATTTTGCACTTCAACATACACATTAAAAACTCAGTGGCCACTGGGCAAAACTACTATTACAAAATTAGACATTACCTCTTATTTGCATTGGTTCTTTTAAGACTCATGAATTACAGAAAAAAAGTTCCTCAAACAGGAAACACATGTATTATTACAGTAGTGCATCTGTAAGCTGAAGCCTTTTTGATAGCTGTATAAAATTTTTGAAGTATCAAGTACTGGATGTACTAATACCTTGAATATGGAAATTTTATACCAACTGTCAGAGATGTAACATGAGAATAAAAAAAAAAAATAAATCAGGAGTTGAAATGAGATTAATTATGAAAATGAAGAATCATACACCGATATTCTCAAGAGGTTTGTTGGTTGGTTTTTTTTAGTATCTTAACTATGAGCTTTGTCACAGAAAACATTTCAGGAAGTGTCAAATTTAGGAACAACATTGTGAGAATGAAAGCATATAGTTTTAGCATATTTTGATGCATGTTTGCAAGACTAATTGGGGGCTGCAAATGGTACAAATGTTCCTTGCCTGAAGCAATCCAAACAAAACTGCACAAATACTCTTATCAGGTACCATATTCAGAACTTTACATACGTGAATGAAATAGAACTTATATTGCTTGAAATGCAGATGGTATATTTAAGTATATTGTTGGACTGCTTCCTGTAGAAGTTACTATACCAGTGATTACTTCATTGCACCAGTGCAAATACAATGTTTTAGTAATAAAAAAATAAAAAACAACTCTAAATCTGGAATTTGCCAAGGTTAATAAATTTCATAGAAAAATATTTCAAGAAAATATCCTAATGTATGAACATGACACAATATATTTAAAACCAGTGAGGTTGTTTCATCACCAGTGCTTATTTTTGAGGTCTTTTTAGAATAATCAACACAAATAGGATATTTGATATTCAACCAAAAAATAATCTCAGCATAATGGCTTTTTATTGTAATTATGCATAAACTTTTACAAAATTCAGATCAGCTTTTTACTAGGATGCACAGGTGTCCAAATGAAACAACATGAAATTATGCATGTGGAAACCCTGTGCACCGGTGGATCCCTTCGGTCTGAGGTTCATTGTCATAGCTGTACACAGATGCAACTATTCCCCATGAAGAATCAGTTGCAGCACTGGGGCCTGCAGGTGTCATCCACAATTGCACCACATTTGAGGATTTAATCAATATACATGGCTAACAGCGAGCATTTGCTCATAGGGGGAAGTAAAGTAATTCAGTGAACACATAAAGATATGCATTATCTTTTGTAGCAGGCAATCCTTCAGCTTCTTTTTACTCTTAATTTATTGAGAGCACAGAATTTATAAACACAGTTTTTCATAATCTCAAAGGAAAATGAACTAGAAGTATTACTTGTCACAGAAGGCCTGGATATTTCACTGGCTGGTTTGGCCTTTCAGTAGCTATTTAATCACCATATTTTAATTGCTGATTAAGTTACTAAGTTGCAACAAACCCTGTTAGTTGAAGGAATTTGTCTTGTGAGTGACAGCCAGATGGAGTAGC